CCATTCAGGCAAAACAAATATCCTGCTTGTGATTTTGAATCGTCTCTGTCGGTTTGGAAGCTAGCATCAGTGTAACCGACCACCTTTAGCTCTTCCTCACCACCGTATACCAGGAATGCATCCTTAGTATTGCGAAGATACTTGAGGATGTTCTTGACCGCTGTCCAGTGTGCTTCTCCTGGACTTCCCTGGTATCTGCTGGTCACGCTTAAAGCGAATGAGACATCAGGTCTAGTACATATCATGGCGTACATGATGGATCCAATCGCAGAGGCGTATGGAACCTTCATCATGAGTTCCTTTTGCTCGGGAGTAGAAGGACTCTGGCTCTTGGAAAGAACCGTGCCAGGTGTCATAGGTAAAGATCCTTTCTTTGAGTTAGACATGCTAAATCGATCAAGGATTTTATCTATATATGTACTTTGATTTAGACCTATTAACTTTCTTGATCTATCTCGGTAGATTCTTATGCCAAGGACATAACTAGCATCCCCTAAGTCTTTCATGGAGAAGTTCTCGCTCAACCACGTCTTTACAGAAGTGAGAGCGGGAACATCATTACCCATTAACAATATGTCATCGACATACAAGTTTAGGAATACTATTACACTCCCACTTTCCTTCTTGTATACACAAGATTCGTCAGAGTTCTTCTTGAAACCAAAACTGGAAATGGTTTCGTCGAAACGTATGTACCAACTCCGAGATGCTTGTTTTAATCCGTAGATTGAACGTTGCAGCTTACAAACTTTGGCAGACTGACCAACAATTTGAAAACCGTCAGGCTGTGTCATGAAGACATCCTCTTTGAGGTTCCCATTAAGGAAAGCCGTTTTGACGTCCATCTGCCAAATTTCATAATCGTAATAGGCTGCAATCACAAGCATTATCCGAATGGATTTCAGCATCACAACTGGAGACAAAGGTTTTATCATAGTCAATTCCGTGGATTTGTCTATAACCTTTTGCTACCAATCTAGCGTTGAAGGTATGAACCTTTCCGTCTACGTCTGTCTTCTTTTTGAAGACCCACTTGCATCCAATGGGTTTACCCCTTCGGGCGCATAAACCAAGGTCCAGACTTGGTTTGTGTATATAGACTCCATTTCAGATTTCATGGCTTCGAGCCATAGATCGGATTCGGGGCATGTAATTGCCTCGAGGTAGGTCTCTGGTTCGCCTTGATCTACCAACAAGACGTCACCTTCATCAGACATGAGAAATCCATATCTGACCGGAGGATTACGTATCCGGTCTGACCTACGTGGTATATCTTGAGCAATTTGAGATTCAATTGCTTGATCTCTTTGCTCAGGTTCCAACACTATCGGGACTTCTTCTTGTGGTTCTCGAATTTCTTTGAGGTCTACCTTTCTCCCACTAGTGATAGCAGAAAGAAACTCCTTCTCAAGGAAGGTTCCATTCCGAGCAACAAAGATTTTGTTATCGGATGGATGATAGAACTCATACCCTCTAGTTTCCTTGGGGTATCCCACAAATATTACTTTATCAGATTTAGGCTCCAACTTACTAGACGTCATGAGACGTTTTACATAAGCTTCACAGTCCCAAATCTTAAAGTACGAGAAACTCGGTTTTCTCCCACGCCATAGTTCATATGGTGTGCTCTCGACAGCTTTAGATGGAACTCTGTTGAGTGTGTGCGCTGCTGTTTTCAATGCATATTCCCAAAATTATTCTGGCAATGTTGTCAGACTAATCATGCTCCGAACCATGTCTAGCAAAGTCCGATTTCTCCTCTCAGACACTCCATTTAACTGAGGTGTCCCTGGAGGAGTGAGTTGGGATAAAATCTCATGCTCTTTCAGATAGTCATCGAACACCAGGCTTAAGTATTCACCTCCTCGATCCGAGCGGAGGGTCTTAATACTTTTGCCTAATTGTTTTTCTACTTCGTTCTTGAATTCTTTGAATTTGTCAAAGCATTCCAATTTGTGTTTCATGAGATACACATATCCATATCTACTAAGGTCGTCAGTAAATGTAACGAAGTAAGAATAACCACCTCTAGCTACAGTGCTAATTGGACCACACACATCGGAGTGTATGAGGCCCAATAAGTCACTCGCCCTTTCACCGTGACCAGTGAATGGAGCCTTTGTCATTTTACCAAGTAAACAAGATTTACATACATCATATGACTGGAAGTCAAATGAATCAAGTACACCAGAACGATGTAACTTAGATATGCGTTTCTCGTTAATGTGGCCCAAACGACAATGCCTAAGGTACGCGAGATTCAAACTGTTAGATTTGTTTCTCTTAACATCTACGTTATATATTGTGGTATCCATGTCAAGGACATAGAGACCGTTGGTCATTTTTGCAGTTGCATAAAATATTTCATTTCTAAAGACTGAAAGAGTTTTGTCTTTTACAACGAACGAAAATCCTGCTTTGTCAAGGCAGGATACAGAAATGATGTTTCTGCTCATACTGGGTACAAATAGACAATTATTTAACTGCAATACAAGACCACTAGGTAGAGATAAACTATAGGTTCCGACGGCTAATGCATTTACGAGTGCGCCATTGCCGACTTTTAGTTATATCTCTCCCTCCGTCAATTGTCTACGTTCATGCAGATCCTGCATAGAAGTACAGATGTGAGAACCACATCCAGTATCCATCACCCAAGAGGTGATATCAGACATATTGACTTCAATAACGAAGATACCTGAGGTTTGAGATTTCTTTCCCTCTTTCCTCTCTGCCAGTAATTTTGCGCAGTTGCGCCTCCAGTGGCCCTTTTTGCCACAATAATAGCATACAACAGACTTCTTCTTAGCTCTTTCTTTGGGTTTCAACGAAGAGGAGTTGGACGCTGGCTTGGGTTTCTTAGAACCCTTGCGCTTGGTCCCGGCCGGCGAACATGGCCCACTCTTCTTCGCAATAGTACTGCCCTCTACCATCAGGACAGACTTAGGGGCTGTTTGGTAACTTCTGAATGGGTAAGTGCTGAACCAGTAAGAGGTCTGAACCATTAAGTGCTGAACCAGTAAGAGGTCTGAACCATTAAGAGCTAGTATATTGTTTAACTATTCGGAGGCAAATGTCTGATCAATTCAGATAAGAGCTCTTAACCATTCAGACTCTGTATAATACTTAACCGTTCAGAGGCAAATCTCTTAACCATTCAGACATCTGAACCATTAAGAGGCTGAAACAAACAGTCTGAACCATTAAGTGCTGAATCATTCAGACATCTGAACCATTAAGAGGCTGAAACAAACAGCCCCTTACCCTTGCCCTTCCCTAGACTCTCCTCAGTAGTTGTGAGGAATTTCAGTAGCTCAGGCATAGTCATCTCTAGTTTGTTCATGTAGAAGTTCACTACAGTTTGACTATACTCAGCTGGTAATGATCCCAAGATGAGATCAGTTGTCAGCATAGGGTGCAACGGGGCGTCCAGTTTTTCAAGAGTTTCGATCTGACCGATCATCTTGAGAACGTGGGGACCAACTGGGTTACCCGTTGCCAGCTTACTGGAAAACAGAGTCGTAGAGATTTTGAAACGCTCATGTCTAGCCTGGCCTTGGTATAGACCTTTCAAGCGAGTCATCATAGGATGAGCTTCCATGTCCTTGTGGAGCCTTTGGAGCTCCGGGGTCATGGTGGCTAGCATGAGACATCTCACATCACGTGCGTCATCTTCATACTTC